CTACCCTCACCCAGTCTCTCTCTGGAGATTCATTAACAGATGATTTTGCTCTTTCAGTTTTCTGGATCAAGGAAAGATAAATCTCTGTTCCAGATAATCTTCTGCCATTCTTTCAAAAATCGTAGCCCTGCCAGATTCAGAGAAAAAACACAGACTTCTACATCTACATAGACTCAACTCCTACAATTCTTGCACCATTGATGGATAAACGTCAACTATGCAACACAACAAGGTCATGAAACATGACATATATATTATTGTGATCATCTTTGGAAAACACACCCTTCTACATTCCAAACTACCAAGTAGCAATAGTGAAGAAAGACGGACTTATCCCACATTTGGAAAAGGTTAAAGTGAGGCAATGAATAGTGATTGCACATATTAAACCACATTCTGCTGCCAGGAACAGCATGGCCTGCATTTCTAGTCCTCAGGCTGCAATCTTGCATACAATTTTACTTCTCCTTTGCTGTTGCCTGAGAGGAGCTTAGAGAATAAGTCCTCATCCTTGACAGTTCTCTTTTAGTGGGCCTTGGTTCTAAAACTCTGAGAAATTACTAAATGCAATTAAGGGAATTAATCATTAGAGATGACCTAAAATTTGAGTTGCTGGTAAATTACTTTTTTCTTGGTTCCACCAATTAGAATGCTGGTCCATCGCCTGTCTGCCTTCAAATATATTCATTGCCTTTTTGCTCCTTTCAAACTTAGTGAACTCCTAGACTCCTGTGTCATTTGCATTATCCTGTTTAATTTCCTGGTTTTTAGTATACGATGATTCCATTAATAGGAGTAGGTGCATGTATACATCTTATTTTTATTCCCCTTCTCCCTTCATTGCCTTTTCTCTCCATCTCTAGGTCCCCTTCCCATTTACAAAAGATCTACTTCCTGGTTTCCTATTGTCTATATTTTCTTTTGTTCTTTAAATTACTTGTACTTTAGGTTTTTCATATAAGAGAAGTTATGTGATATTTAAGCTTGTGTGTCTGCTTCATTTTACTTAATATTATGGTTTCAAGGTATACCAATTTTCCTACAAGTTAAATTTAACCTTTTTGGTAGTGCTCCACAGTGCATAGATACCACATTTTTCTTATCTATTCTTCTGATGGATTATGAGTTGTGGTGGTATAAATATGAGTATGTGTATACCACCGTAGTTTGATATCTTTTAACTCTTTTGGGAAGATACCCAGAAGAGGAATACCTTGGTAAAATGGACTTTCTAGTTTTAGTTTTTTCAGGAATCTTCACACTGATTTCCATAGTGGTTGTACTAGTTTACAGTCTCACCAACCACATAGAATGGTGCCTTTTTCATCTGTTTTATTGTAAGGAAGAAACCAGGATATTTCTCCCTCTGCCATTGGTAGCATCTCTGAGCAGTGGCTGTATTTCCTTGACTCTTGTCACCTGGGTTTCAGGGACATTTCCTTCTCTCTTTGTTCCTCCAGTGTAGGGAGATGGTGCCCACCTTCTGTTGCTAATCATTGGGTTGACATATCTTATTTGACTTAACTCAATTTTTCTCTCTTGTAATTTCACTATTGAATGTCCTCTCTTTAAAAATCTTAAAGGTACTTTATTATTACTTAGGTTACTGTTATTCTATCCCTGTTGTTGGCTTTGTGTATCTGTAGTTGAATCTACAAACTTTACAAATTAAGTAAGTTTATGGAGCATCCTCTAACTTCTAAAAAGTAATTTCTCCCATTTAAAATTAATTTGATAATTTAGTAAATTATTCAGAGAAGGAAAGTATTTATTGAACACTTTTTACTGGCTATACATTTGATGAATCATTCAATTCTCCCAACTGAGTGAAGTAGGGAATCACTCTCCTTTTAAAGTGAAATAACTGAGACTCATACAAGTTGTTTAAACAGCTTGTCCAGGGTCGGACTCTTTATTATTCTTTCCACTATACTGCACTTTGCCACAGAAAATTTTCTTCTTACTCATTGGTCTTTATCTTGACTTGAAAGTGGTCAATTTGATACATAGTTGCGCATCTTGTGTTTTTACTAAGCTCCATCAAGTTCCTTGTTTCCTTGGTATTTTTTTCTATACTTTGATAAATCAAATGTTTCGGCTCAAAATTCGTTACTAAAAGAAGCCAACTAATACACGAAGAGGAGGTGAGGCATAGACTCAGTCAAATCACCAATAACTAATTTTCACCACTTCTCAAATAAGAACCAAGATGCATTATGTAAAGGTACAATTCCCAATGAGAAATGTAATTGTGTTGTATACCTAAAATGTACCAATAAAAGAATTTAACAAAATAATTTTCACTTCTGTATTTTCTTAGTGCCTGTTGTGTAGAAAGATATTCATAAAAATTATTCTTAGCATTGAAATAAACCTACTTGCTTACACAGTAGGCTTGAAACTTGTTGAAAAAATCATATTGAAGTCGTGTCTTCACTATTTTAACCATGTTGTCACAAAAGTGCTTCATCATAAATTAATGGTTTAGTTGAAGCTATATTTGCAAAGAGAAATATAAATAGCATGAAAGCTATTTTGGTATTATTGAAACTTGTTTGCAAATCCAAGAACACACATCTTTTCGTACACTTCCTTATACATAGAAAAACAATGGCAATTTGAGTTTTTGTGAGTTTCTTTGGGGGAAAATGTAGATTTTAAAAAAATGATTGAGTGTGAAGACAGAAGCCAAAAAAAATCTAAAAGGCTGAAATTGAAAACAAAGTATCTAGGCAAGACTCTAAGATGTCCTCCAATATTTCCTGTCTTGGGTACATACAGCATACATAATAATCAGGACTACGAATTTATTCTATTCTACTCCTGTGGTTAGATTGTTATATAAAACTGCTAACCTTGAGATAGGGAGATTCTTCTGGAAGACCCTACTTAAATAAACCCTTTAATACAGATAATTTTCTCTGCCCACAGACTCTGACTGCTACACTATTCAGTTGCTGAGATGGAGGGGACCTTACAGTAAGGACTGTCCACTAGGAGCAATCTGAGGAGTTTAGAAGTCTAGCTGACAGCCAGGAAATGGGGGACCTCAGTCCTATAACCACAAAGAACTAGATTCTGCCACACGAATGAGTTAGGAAAAGGACACTGACATGGAAGAATTTAGTTGCCTAATACAGTATCTCCTGTTAACCTGAGCACAACCCAGGCACACTGGTCCTGGACTTCTGATCTGCAGAACTGCAAGCTAACGAGTGGTTATTTTTGTAAGCTACTAAGTTTTTAGTGATGTTACATAGCAGTAAAAAGTGAACACATCTGTTTTCAGCATGCTGCAAAAGCATGGGTTGATCAAAAGGGTTTTCTGTGCACAGACTTGTTCCCCATAGTCCACTGTACTGTGTTTTATGAAGTATTAAGGTGTCACTACTTAGCCTTAATACATCAAAAGCATATGTAGTATCCAAAGTTTAACACGCACCTCATTTCTGGACAAAACTCCAACAATCGCATGGGCTTGAACCTCAGTGATATGTTTTGCTCCTCCATAATCAAGTGTCTTAGCAGATGATAATTCAGGATACTGGATGCTATGCTATCCTCAATATTTTCTCCCCAAATACAAATCATTTCCCTGTGTCATAGTTAATAAAAATGAATGGCATTTTGTAGAAGTCTTTTTAGTAGTTTTATTTACTGCCTAATAAGTAAATTTGAATTTTGAGAGGTATTTTCAAATAGCAATTTACAAACATCCAAAAAGCACAAGCTTAATCACAAAAATCTAGAATGTTGTTGAAGTCCAGGGTTTATGGAATTAAACTGTTTTGGATAAATCAAAGTCTTGAAAAAGTTTTTTAAAATAACCTAATGGCATACAAATATATTAAATCTTAGATACAGTTCACTGGCAGGCCAGCTACTTGCCTTTATCTCATTACTGTAGTAATGTGAAGTTTGAGCAGTTTACTTAGGCAGTGAGGTTAACTTTATTAATATCAGCATGCTGTTCCAGCATCATACTTCTATTTATAGTGTTTCAAGTTTTATTGGTTTGTTTCAGCCTTGGTATCTTGAAGTGATGGAAGAGACACACCCATTATGACCACTCATGACTGACTGACGGACCAATTAGGGCATGAATTCACTTGACACAGTAAGATTTTAAGTCAAGCAGATTTTTAAAAATTTACCTATGCCCTGAATATTAGAAGATTTTATGTACTGCAATCTATATCAATCATTAAAGTATGCTGCGTGGGTGGTGTGAGATAATATACATAGCACACCTAAGAATATTTCAATGTATTTATTTGCATATGCATTAAATTGTCTGCTCTATTTAAAGAAAATTATAGTTAAATATGGCAAGTAAAATCATGCTTTAAAAAAATCATAAAGTTAGAATATTAGGTAAATATTATTTTAGGTGTTGATATAGCAAAAACTGAAAATGATTGAAATTTGGGAAACAATGCTTTATTTCTAAATCTTTATTCTATTTGATTCCTAGTTCTGATTAATTTTAATTTTCCAAAATGTATTTTCACGTTTTAGAATTTGAAGGCATTTCTAATTACTTGAATATTTTTACCAAATGCTTCACAAATTACTTTCTTCTAACAAAGGCTCTAGATCCAGATGTCTCTACATTTTGTGTTTAAACATTCAATAATAATCTACTTTAATCCTTGGCTTCATATGTAAAATTTTGTTACATACAGCATTTTTTTTGTTTTTTGGTACTGGGGGATCAAACTCACAACCTTGAGCTTGAGAGGCAGGTGCGGCGCCACTGAGCTAAATCCCTGGCCCTACATACATTGTATTTTAATTCAGAAAATAAAATAGTTCAATAGTCACTTTTACAGTGATTACTTTCACGTGTTTTAAAAATTTGCATGTTCATATTCGTTTTAATATTTTAAGTTCATATTTCATTGTCACAAATATATAACTGAAACCAGTATCTGACACTTTGTTCAGTATTTATGGTTTAATGATAGAAAATACCAATAAAATTCTACTGATCATCCTATTTAATATAAATCATAATCACTTGCTGCTTCTGAAGATGAAGAAAAATACTATTTTGTGAAGTATTTTGTACACCTCCAAATCTTAGAATTCTCCCATTCTACCCTTAGGGCCTCCATATTATCTCAATTCTCCCCAGATCATTAGCAATGAAAACGGATAATGTTTTATACTATGCTCAGCCTCATTTAGTGTTAGTTACTACAGCTATTGCCTGTGTGTATATTTTACTGTGTGACTGGCACCAAAAGCAATCTTAGGTTGGAAAAGCAGATTCTTATTTAGGTGCACCCTGGAATGCATTATAATTACAAACTCAAGGGAACATATACTGAACACAATTTTACATTTATGTTATGGGCTCTGCCTGCTGGCAGTGACAGTAAAAAGTAATGAGATGAAGACAAAGATTTCTGCAAACACTTCTGCCTGGAAAAAAAAATGGTAGAAGAAGGCTCAAGGGAAAGAAACACTGTAAAAGTTCATGTCAGATTTGAAAGAAATACGTATCATTTGAAACAAATGTGACAACAACAGTGTTAGAGAACAGGTTAGCTGATGTAACAAAAAGACCAGGAACAGACTAGCTCAAAAAAAAATAAACCACACACACACAAAAAGTGAGGAGTTTTATTATTCTTTTACACATCATTCGAGAAGCAAGCAAGCAATCCAGGAGTCTCTGCTTCACAAGGGCACATTCAGCAACCCAGGTTTTCTATGTGGGTTCTTCAACCACTCCCAAAGTCTCTCCTTGACTACATGTTCAAAACTGGTTCACAAGCAGCATACATCTGTGTTAAAACAAGACTGGGAAGTAACATGTATCACTTGTCACATCCTATTGTCAAGAATTCAGCCTTACTATCCATCAAGGAAATCGGAAAAATGTAGTCTCCAGTTGGGCAGACACTCAGCAAAAATTCAAGGTGTTTTATTACTGAAATGAAAATAGGGAACATATATTGGGGAACAATTAGAAGTTACTACCTACCTTTAGCCTCTAGACCAAGTATCCAAATGCAACAATCCTCCCATATGAAAAACACAGGTCTTCCCCAAGGAATGCAACTAAAGATCATCCTTGTTCCCAGTTCAAAATCTGAGATCTCTGTGTATTTTTTGCCTCTTGATACAAAGGTCTCAAGGACCAACAACTATTATTATTATACAAGTTAATTGCAATCCAATACATCTCAATGCAAAATGGTGGAGTAGCATACAACACCATAAGGGAAACTACCATAATGAAAATAAATGGGAAATAGCAATCACTATGATTTTCAGTTTGGCAGAAATTCAGAAGGCTTCCTTCCCAGGAAATTTAGTAAATTCCTTGCTTAAACTCTGGTTCTGATTTCCTGCAGGAATTCCTTTGACTACTGCCACCCCATGGTCACTGGATTTATCATTCGGAAAATTCATTCTCTTTATCTATTTTCTACTGTGGTGTCATATCCATTTGGCCCCGATCAGGAAACACACACACACACACACACACACACACTGATTTGAACACTGAAAGCTCATTACAAATAATTACTAAAAGCAGGACTTGCCAGTTAGAACTACAGAGAACTCAAAGGAATATAGGAATATTAGATACAAACAGCAGCCACTATCTCTAGGCCTGAAATAGATCCTCCAGGACAAGCCCCACAGAACTCTCTCTCACACATGACAAGGTTAGTCACCATAGGGTTGAGCCACCAGAATTTACCAGAAATCCACTCTTTAGAGCAGTGATGGTGAGCTTTTTAGCGCTTTCAATGACAACAGCCAGCTACAGCATGCATGCCATGGGTTTGTCATCACTGCTCAAGTGTTAGTAACTGTTCATTGGGTGGCATTTTGCTATAGACACATCACTATGCAGCTACGTGATGAAGCTGTTGTCTCTGGGTGCCGCTCACAGACGTACCCTGAAGGATCTGGGCAATGGAGAAGTTATCCACGTCACAAGGGCCTACCAGATGAACACACCAAATCAGGAAAGAATACTCGTTCCTCATGCAAACTCTCCAGAAACTTTTATTGATAAAGCTCAATACCATACCAACTCCTGTTAGGTGGAAACTATTTGAAGGCCAACATATAGGCAAAGAAGAATTTACAGCTGAAAAGTGTAAGTGAATTGGCACACCTCTGAAATGAGCTGTTGAGTCACCCTCTTGGTGATTATGTGGCTTCAACAGTATTTTTTCTGCTGGTAGTTTACAACTGGGAATTGTTGGAGACAGGAACCATGACTGGGATTTCTTTGGAAAATAATCTACTCTCAAATTTGAGTTGTCTCTTAGACTTACATTCACTTCCATGTTAAGGCATTCTCAAAAATCAAGTCATGTTACTGTTCTTAAAACTTCTGACTTAAGTCATGATGGCAAATCCCTGTAATCCTAACACTCCGAAGGCTGAGACAGGAGGATCACTGTACTGGGAGCCTGAAGACAGCTTGGGTTACAAGGGTAGCCTGAACTGCATATCTATCTCAGAAACAAAAACAATTTCAGATTCTACTTTATTTTCTGGTTATGATTTATAGCTGTCACCCAAAGACTCATTAATGGGATTTTGGGTAAGTGTTTGAATCATGGGGGCCTGATACGCCTCAGTGGACATATCAACTGGTGAGTTTATAGCTAAATGTGGTGAGAGGAAGGCCTGGTGGGAGGCAGTGGGTCACTAGGGGCATGGTCTGGAAAAGTGTATTTCTATCTCTTCTCTCGGTTCTGCTTCCTGCTGCCATGCCATGAGCCACTTGTCCTCTGCCATGCTGTCCTGCCTTGGAGCCAGGAGTCACCAACTGCGGACTGTAACCTCTACAAAGTATGAGCAAAAAGTAAACCTCTTCTCCTTTGAGTTGTGTCAGGTATTGTGTGTTAGCACCGGGAAAGTAACTAAGACAATATTCACCTCTCAATTTAGTGATGACTACCTTGAGCCCACCTAGAATAATTAGGTTCAGGAAGGAGTGGAATGCCCTTAAACTACCTTGTAGAGCGGATTCCTACTTGCTAGTTGAGAACATATACTAGAGGCTTTTGAGAAATGCTAAGGGACAAAGGTATTTCCTGTTTTAAGGTACAGAGTTGGTTTTCCAATCTGTGAGTTCCTGAAATATTGTCAAATCAGCCAATCCAGATGTTTATTTTAGGATGAGTCATCAGCAGAACTGGATTCCCTTTCCTTTTGCTTGCAGTGGCTCACTTTTACCTGGTAATTACTCGACAGCCTGCCCTATCTTTCTTTACCCTTCAATTACCAATCAATAATCTACTTCAATTTTGTATTGCAGAAACACCCCATTTCCTGATAATGTCTGCATTAGTTCAAGTAAGTTTAAACTGTTATAACAACAATGATTTAAACAGAGAAGTTTGTCCTCCCCACACTAGTCTAGAAGTAGGCAGGCTCTCTAAGTCAGGTGTAGCAATCACCTGTCACGCACTGAGAGCCTAGCCAAACACTTGGGAGACTAATTATCTTGACTCAAGATTTAAACTAAGAAGGAAACAACAATTTGTCCTTCCTTAAATAGACCCTTTCCAGAAGTGAGTTTGTTTTCTTTGCTCAGTTTTTCTATCACCATCACTATCTGAACACTTACAGAATCTCCAGTTACGTATAATATCCCCCATATTCCTCAAACCAAGAGATTTATTTTATGGCAAAGTTGAGGCCACTAACACACTGTCCAATAGTCTTAAGTAATACACTTCATCCAGGATCATCATAATTACAAAAATGCTAACACCACATACAATAGCCTCATTAAGGCTCAAACAAGCATCAGGCCAGGGACAATCCCTCCTGGGTCAAGATAAGCCACCATGAAGTATGCACTAAAATCAATGGCCAACATAAGATACTATATTAGTTTTCTAGAGAAATGCAATTGGTAAAATATATAGTATATGTATAGATAGATAATTTTTTTTTAAACACAAGGGGCTTTATAAGGTAGGCTTACAGGATCAGAAGTGAAAGCCCATGATGGCCATCTGTGTGCTCAAGAGCTGGAGGATCCAGTAACTGCTCAGTCCGAGAATCTGCAAGCCATGAAAACAAGGGATCAAGGATACAGCACCAGTCCAAGACTGAAGGTCTTTAAGCTAACAGATAGTTGCTGGTATGACTCCGCATTAGAATTCTGAAGAAACTGCAGTATATCCATAGGACATGGAAGCAATAGATGCACCCACTCAAGCAGAATGGACCTCTTCAAAATATATGCTAACTTACTTCTTTCCTTTTTATTCCATCCAGGCTACAAGCCTATTAGTTGGTAATACCCACAATGGGAGTGGGTCCCTTCCCCTCATTTGCTAGCCTGCTTGCCAGTCATGTCTAGACACACCCAGAAGTGTGCTTTAATAATCTGCTAGGTGTGTTTTAATCAAGTTGACACGTCATGATTAACAGAGATACTATAGCCCCAGTATCTAGAATACATGTTGCTTCACTAAGAAGCCCTCACAACATGAAGTAAAAGGATTTCATCAAGAGGTGAAAGACTGACCTCTCAAACCATTACTTGCGATCTATTTGCAGAATCTGTACTCCCTAGCTCTGAAACTTTAGGTCTTCCGTATCTGAGGTCCTGGTCTGTAAGTAGGGGACAAGAAATGGTTTCATTATGAGTATGCAAAGAACTTGATGAAATTAATTTGATGCTACAATTACCACCTAATAATTTTGGCCTCCTTCATGAAGGAACAATTAAGAGTGGGAGGTGGTACTGTTATGGTGACTACGACTTGTCCTGATAACCATGAGCTAGAGTAACAGGTATAAAAAGAGGCAGTTTTTACTGAGCTCAGGGGACTCACCAGGCTACATCTATACTTTTTATGCTCACTTAATGAAAAACTGGAGTAGCGGAAGGCCAGAAAGTATATGGCAAGGAGCCCGTCTCAAGTTTCAGTGTCCAGGTAGTACCACCTATCAGTAACTGAAACAGAAATGCTAGTAAGGCAGAGATCTAGGAATCTAGAAGGAATGGATGGTGAAGGAAAGGCTGAGTATCAATGACAAAAGCTGGAGGAGCAGCTAATTCTTTTTTACAGTGTCATGATTCTGCCCGGCAACAGCTTTGATGGGCACTTTTGTGATTAAGCTGGGATTAATGCAAGACACAAGCATAAGTGCAGGAACTGCGTTCCATTTGACACCTTTTGTGCACCATTTTAAATCTCCTTGATCCCACCTTGTCACTTCTGAGGCAACAGATTCTATGCACTGACCAGCAATATAAACCACCACACAACATCCCTTGTTGTATCTGTATTGTATCCTTGGCTAAGGAAGCCTATAGGTATCAATATACATATGCTACCCAGTTTGGGGTGGTTAACCTCACAAAGGCATGGGAAAAAATGACCCTCCATCTTTCAATTCCTAGGCAATTTTGGAAAGCATTTCTACCTTTCACTCTCAGTGTCTCTGAATTTTTTTCTAGATGTTTTTCACTGTTAACTATTTTACAATTTTTGTTTTGCAACTTGTTTGTATCTAGGAAAATCATTTCATAATGTGTTAAATTACCTCACAGAAGTCTTACTAGTAATTTTTCTAAAAATTATCGCAGACAACTATTTTGAATGCTAATATTGATAATTTTGCCTACACTTTTCCAAGTTATGCCAAAAATTTGTGTTCTATTTCACTCGAGTCTATTAATTTACCAAAGCAGAGCTAAGTCACAGTGATGACACCTATTTTGCTAATTTGTTGAGATATTTGCATTATGTATTGTTTCACATCTGTCATAGGTGAGGTTGTATCATTACATTTTAAAAGTATTTCTTAGATCCTAATGCTAACACAATGAAATGCGTTAGGAAGCTCATCACTCCATTTTTAGGCTTCCTGACAATACTGGCATTGCTGCATCCTTAGCAATATGTAATTACTCAATATCCCAGTTCTCTAGGCTGTCTCTGAAAATAATTATTTAATTACATCTAATAGAATGTTGATTTACTGACATTTTCTCAATCATTTTGAAATACATCTTCTCTAAAAAGTGACTAGATGACTGATTTTAACGTAAAAAACCAACACAGAATTTTTATTTTAAAAGAACTTGTTTGAAACTAAAAGTGAAATTACAGGAAAAAAATCACTGAAAATACCACTCAAGAACTAACGTTGTGACTTCTTTGCATACCTCTCTTTCTGGTGAGAGTATATTAGGGTAAAGCTTTCTGAAATTTTTATAAACTTTTTATTGGAACAGAAATGTGATTTATCCCACAAAATCTGAGAAAAGGTATAAACTTAGTTTTCCCTACTATCTTTACTTTGCTCCTTATACTATTTCTCATATGAGAAATTGTGATATTTAAGTCTTGTGTGTCTGATTTCATTTAGAATTATGGTTAAATCTTTTGGGAAGATATTCATAAGTAGTGTATAGCTGGATCAAATGGAATTTGTATTTTTAGGTAAATTCAGATATTAAAACCCCCCAAATATTTCTGCTCAGTGGTAACATCATTTTACATTCCCACTATGCTAACATATAATGAAAGCTGGCCTAGAAGGCAGCATAGCAGTTAAGAAAACTGGTTCCTGAACCAGATTTCCTAGATTTTGACTTTTTGACACAGGGTCTCACTGTGCAGTTCAGCTTGGCCTTGAACTCAGGGCAATCCTCCTGCCTTAGCCTTCTGATAACTGGGATTACAAGCATGCATCATCCCACCTGGCCAGACCTCCTAAATGTTCACATTGGCTGCCTCATTTACCCCTGTCAATTTGATCACCTGTATACTTTCCCGCCTGCTTCCCCAACTTGGGAATATCTCATAGAGATGTTAATGTTAAGATGAAATGTTAAGATAAAATTAATATACAGTGATTGAAAATAATTGTAATCTACCATATTAACTTTAGTTAACACAAGTCCTACATGACAGCTTCTGTAACAAAATTACTCAAGCCATTCAAAATGACTTTTAAGATTATAAAAAAAACCCCATTCTTCTAAGTTTTGCAGCAGAGCAGAATAATCTGTTATTTGTTTTCACCAAGTCAGGACTAAGGTACCTGTCAAGGTCCAGAGGAGGAGGCACAACTGCTTTTTAGCAATACTCACACCCTATTACTGGGAATCAGCCATGGTCTTTTGTCTCTTGTGAGCTCAGCCACTAAGACAGTCTCTTAATTCCATTTCACTCCTTCCCCCCATAACTACTTTTTTTTTGGGGGGGGGGCCCACAGCTTGGAATTGAACTCAGAATCTCCATCATGGGCAGCCAATAGAGCTAATTCCCAGCCCCCACTTTCTCTTTTCTAACCCACTTGCTATACAAAATGATTCTAAACCAAACTCTTCCAGCCCTTTCCTATTGTCCTCCATCTGCAACATCTTGTACACATGAAGCTACAATGAATTTCTGCACACAAAGGAACATTTTTCATCTTTGGACATCAAGTTACAAATTCACTACTAAGTTGTTGCCTGTTCATGATGAAGATCTTTTCAAGCCATGATTTCCAGGGATACCCAAATCCTTATGCAATCTTTTAAGTTTACTATATTGTTTATGCACATCTTTTCACGTCCCTGCAAGGGATATTTTGCAAAACTTCCTTCTTTTCCACTTATGAGAATGAGTAAGAGCTGACAGAAAAAAAGTACACAGGAAGTAAAGAGAACTGGGTAAAATCTTTTAATGTCTCAATGTATTGCTATGTACAACTTTACTTTGTTCCTTGGGCAAGGAAAAATTCTTCTCAGACTAAGATGGTTTCAAGACAGTAGACAACATGGGAACCACAGGCACTGTGAATTGAGACAAGGAAACATAAGGTTCTGATTAAGATTGTGGCCCTGTGAACAGGCAGGTAAGTTCAGGTGGTAGTAAATTCATGAATCTGTGAAAAAATAATGTGGCCTTCATCACTTGTTTCAAACTATACCATTTAAAAAAATAATTACCCTTGTACCTTAGTTTTCCATATATGTAAAAAGTATCCAACAGAAACTAAAAACATATTCTGATTACCTTGATACAAATACTTGTGTAAGGATAGGGTTAATAATTACTAGACAAAAATCCTTACCACATGCATATCACTGACAATAAATATAGTAGATCAATAGAGGGGGGAAAAAGCTTTTGGGGGAGGAGGAAACAGAACAGGAGAACTAGAGCAAGCAAATATGTAAGACTAACTACAACAATTACTCGACTAGAAACTCATGGGGAACTAAGAAGAGTAAAGGTCTGCTGTCATTAAGTAAATTTTCTAAAAATCACTTTATTCATTTTATCCTGTATAGTCATCTGTAGTGTTCAAATGTGCTCACCAATTGCTTAACTCCACTTCAGTCTACCTTTGCAAACAAAGCCGTCGGATCAACAGAGAAGATTCAAACAGTTTCAAAAGTGCAACATTTTGAAAGCATTTTGTTTGCTCATACAAATATACTTTATGGTTAACTATTTAGTAGAGATTGATTTCCTCAAACTTGTCCCAATTATTTGATGAGATTAAGAAAGTATAGCATCAGCAGCACTTAAGACTATTGCAACATGGCAAATGTGTAAAAACCCACCTAATCTTGGAATTTTCCTCAGCATCTTACTTTAGTATCATGTGCTGTAGATAGCTACCATTGTTATTTTATGAGCAAAGATAACTAAGTCATTTGCAGCTGTTTAAAATGGTGGCATTATATAACATTTAATTAATTGCCCACATAACCTCACTGTATTTTCAAAGTATGATTTTAGCATTTTCCTGGTAATTTTTTTTTCAAGTTCACCAGTGCTTCCTTTTTTCTAGATCCTATCATTATCCAGAACTGGATATGTGTAAGAAACCTGTAATTTAAAGCTGAATTACATGACTGCTAAATATATTGCTGTCCCTTAATTTTTTTAATAAACCAAATGAATACAAATAACCCTATTCAAAAAATGAAAATTACTTCTGAATGGCATCCATTGGGAAACAAACCTATGATTAAAATATTACAGTTGGCTTTAAACATCAGCAGGATCACACAGGTCTTTAAAACGAATAAAATGTGTTTAGGTCTTTGATTCTAATATTCCATCAGTTTAAGAAGGCATAGCATTTCTATAGCAGTAAGATGTCTGAAATACTAAATAAGCAAAACCAAACCAAATCAAATAAATAAATAAACCCATACAGGAATTTACTCACTAGCAGTGTCATATCAACTATGAATGGCTTCACTTGGTAGTAACTTGCACATTTCATTTTTGGCTGGGAAAAAAACGTTCAATATTAGAATCCTCATATTAAGCAAGGATCAACACACTACAACCAAACTATCAAAAAAAAAGAGACCTAATTACTATATTTACATACGCTTTTAGAGAACAAGTCCCTTTTAATTACTTGTGTGTTGTAATGGGTACCAAATGCACACAGTACTTACTGCATTAGTCATTTCCCTGTCTGAGCTCCAGTAGTACTTTGTAAGCTGTCATTTAGTGTCAGTTACCACTTCATTTCACTAATTCTAGTAAGGCTTACCGCAAAATTACCTGCAACATCCTTGAGGACACATAGCCTTTAGAATAGGGCAGTAGTGGCGAACTGATGGCAAACATGCTGTAGCCCACTATTATCAATCATGGAAAGCTCGAAAAGGTTTGCCATCACTAAGACTAGTGATCTGGGAGAATGGCAGTCCTGAAGTCATGGTCTGGTTTCCCACTTCCTTACTTAAAAGGCAGGTTTGTTATTCTTGAGATTTGTTCTGAATTCTCTTACCACACTAGTTCTCAGAATTAACCAGATCACTGTCCTGCCCCATTCAGCCACTCCTGTCATCCTTACACATCACATACAAATGTGCAGAGATAGCATTTTCTTTATATTCACTGCCCCTCAGTCCCTGCCACACACAATCTTTTTCTGTTCTTTTCACCAAGGCAAGCTGTCTGGACAAAACTCGGCATCAGGTGAGAAATGTTAACAGATATATACCTACTGCAATACATCAAAGAATCTATTAATGGCCAAGTCATATTTAAAAGAAACCTTCAATTCATTCAACAAGTACTTAATGAAGGCTTAATCATTTGAAAGAATACACTATGTCTTCCTCATTTTCAAAGATCTGGCATTTAGCAGATGATCTTGCTATTGGGCCAGAGAATTTCAAGGTAAAGTCAAGGACTTTGATCATCTCTACATTCCTAATGGCCAAAAATGTCTGTATGTTATGGAACTTGAGTATAACTGTCTTGAGTTAAAACAGAAACTAATTTATAAACACAACTTCTGTGCTTAACTTCAATTAAAATGCTTATTTCCTGTTTTGTGATGTACCTTTTTTCTACTGATGTCCTAGTATATATATATAATTCTAATTCCTTTGAAATAAACATTCAAACCATTTGTTCTCTTAACCAAAAAATAGTGTTATTTATTCTCTAAAGGATCATGCCCCAGATTAAGCTAATTTTGAGACTTAAAAAAACACTGCCTTAGACTCTGCAGATGCTATCTTCATTTCACTTCAGTGTTCACACGTCCTACTGGTTGCACTTATTTCAGTTTCCCCTCTCTGGACTTAACCTGCTAGTTGACTTACGTACTTCTAGACATTTTTCCTGGAATGAGAATGTGAGAAGTATACTATCACCCCTTCTGTTCTGAGCAAATCATTTTACTCAGAGAATGGCAACTGGATATTTGACTTACAATCATTTTTTCAAGCCTCTTAAACTGGCACTGCAGAGGAAAATTCTTAAGCCAGTCACTTTGTGTTCTGTCCCCTTCCACGGACTGTTGAAAAAACTTTCCTTAATTCATTAACTTAAGGTTTAAATTTATGGTAATTAACTACAGTGGGACTATGAAATATAATAGGCAATAAAATGATACAAACATCATTGATACAACTTAAAGTTTTACTTGGTGCACCAAATAAAAATGGCAGGTACTCAGATAAGGCTGGTACTCAGGGAGGGCCTTTTTGAGGAAGTAGCATTACAGCTGAGAACCTAGCAACAGCAGGTGAACACCACTGCAGCCTGGTTGCTTGCCTCAGCGGCTACCTTCTCAACCCCCTCCTGCAATTCTGAGAATCCATTTTTGCTGTCTAGTCAACCAAGGTGCTATTCCTCAACCCTTAGGGCATTCTTATCTCTTACTAACTGCACCATCACTCTGCCTGTGTATCCTGTGTGCTTCAGGGAGGGGAAGGGGACCTGTCAGTCATTATCATAAGACTTAGGCCTAACCTTGATCTTACCTCTCCCCCACAGGCTTACTTCTGGTAGGCCAGAGATCTACATTTGTTCAAGCAGAGTGGAGATGAAATTTTGTTTTGAAGGAAGGTCTTTCAGCTGATGTGAACCAGATAATCATGACAGCCACCACTGACCACGATGGAAAAGCCTAGCTGAGCTTACAATTTGGGGGGTCGAATACTAAAACTGCCCCAACAGGGGCTACTGATACTTGAACCCAGAACCTGACATTAAACTCTAATAAGACTCCTTAAGTAGTTGCTTAAAACTCCTCGACCCATTAGGCAATTATCAGGTGGCAACTCAGAATATTTACAATGGGATTTACATATTCTTGGAGCCCACAGACTAGACCTACTGTGCTAAGGCATATGTGTATATATGTATAGTTCTGAGACCTCAACTAGCCTATCAACTTGTCTTTATTTTCTGTAATATGAGGTGACAGCAGGACTCCTCAATCCTTTATCATTCTTCTCTCATAATACATACACAGCCTGTCTCAAGTGTTACTGGTTTACTATATAACTTTGCCAAACAATCAGCTCAAAATTTAATCATACACCAGAGTAGAGCTTCTGTGTAAATTCTGCTTGGAGTGAAACCTATTGGAAAATTAAGAGTTTTGGTTAGTATTGATATTCTAAATGTAAATGTACTAGACAAGGGAAATGGAAATGTTAAACTGCTTGCTGAACCAAAAACAGGAGCTTGAAACTGTAGCACAAAGAACCATGATTTAAAAAACAAAAGCCTGTACTTCAGGTAACATAATCATGTTGAGAACTACTAACTTTACTAAACTAACTGCTGCCTCTCAGTACAGTATTTTCACCTTTCTTTGTACAAGTACAGAATTTTTGGTGCCCTCACTGTTGTCAGTTGCGTTGTGAGATTTAGGAGGTAAGTATTCCCAAGAGAGCACCATTACATTCCCACATAATTTGAATTATCAGATTTTCTTTGTTGACCCTTCTACCTTTAGGAAACTTTCTTTTATCTTTGCTGAAGGATTAATGTTTACTCTAAATTCTACTTACTTAAGCCAAGAACCCTGCTAACACTAATTACTTCAAGTTGTCAAATGTACCCCAAGATGATTACACATGCATAAAGTCAAACATATATTAGAATCTGATCTCACTTTTGCTGCTTCCTTCCCCTCAACCTCTCATTCTAGGAAATTCATTCATGGGCCCTATTGAAGGTTTAAGCATTCTACACACTAGTAATATTTCGGACATGGCAGAAACTGCATAACTTACAATTTTAGAGATTACAAAATTCTTATGAGGGTTAAAAAAATAAGCATGGAATTCTCAATCAAGTGTTGCTTAGACTGAGATTCCTTAGGAGTTGCAGTAATGAATGTAATGAGACAGAATTCCAAGCATAATTCCTAGATAAAGTAGCTGCTTTGTTATAGCTCTGGAGTTTTGCTTCAAGTGTTCTGAGGCTAGATTTGAAAGATTTATTAGAGGGGAATTCAAATCCTGGAGGACCAATACCTGGAAAATGTAGCCTATATCTTTCACCCTCTTACTTGTTCTGAAACAACCCCTGAGGAAATCTATGTATAGTACACAAAGACATTATATGTGTGGTGTATGAGAGCCAAGTAAGGGGAAAGCTACTACCTACGGTTGGATAGTGAGCAAGTCTGCAGATTCAGAAACAAACGTGAACTTGAAGTTGGCCAAAAATTGCAATGGCAAGCAAAATAAGCTAACTATAAAACAAGGAGTGAATGCCTATGGAACTATTTAGTCTCTTACATCCCTACAAACTCTAAGGTGTTGCTCTGACATTCAGTGCCATTTCTGACAACTCAGGGTAGTGATTATATTCTGAGTATATATCAAAATCAAAATATTCCTCAGAACACCTGTCTGTTCAGTAGCCTGCTCAAAGATTCTAACATACCTAGACTGAAAAGTCCAGGTCTATTTTGTGAACTATCAAATTATCAATTGTATCACCCAAGTACAGTTAAAAACTGTACCCCAGTAATTTTATAATTACTCTGAAAGTTCTAGTTTTAAGTCTTTGGTGAACCTGACCCATGCACTTTTGTGTTGAGGGATCAAACTACGTGACACATTACCTAAACTACCTTACAAGAGGCTTCCAATTTTCATCTATTCTTGCACTGAAGTCTTAACGCCTGAAACAAAGGTATTCTCCCTGGAGTTAAATCTCAACTATGTACAAAATTCACTTTCAGGTTATTGGAATTCAAGCTTTCAATGTATTTTACTCTGTGCAAACTGAAGTTGACACAAGTAAACAAGCATCACGATGGGCACGTGCTAATTCTCTTAGGAAATATATACACACCCCTAAATTTAGGTCTCTGGTCTTAGCAATGCTCATTCAGCTAATTACTTATCATTTAAGGGATACCAACCATTTGTTTTGTTCTTTATGTTAAATAACTGGCCTATAATGACTAAATCTACATTTGTGTTGGCATTTACTTGTTTTTTAAAGTACTGGACACCAGCATACTTCATGAAGCTGTATCTAGTACCTTATTTTCAAAGGATTTACTGTGACTTTTTTTCAACGTTTAAAAACTGCTGAACTTAGAAGCTTGCTTAGAACATACCATCTCGTTCAATTTGTTCTAAATACAGAAAACATTCAACCCTAGAACCAAATGAGTAGCAAAAGCATTTAAATTATTCCACAAACCTTGAGCTTCCCTGCTAGGCTTCAACTTCAGTGTACCACAGGGTCTGAAACACCTTAGTAACATGTATAAGATCCTAGTCAAAATGGAGATGTGCCAATATAATGGTTATTAATAAAATCCCAAGTGACTAGATTTGAAGCATCTATGTCATTCAACAAATTTAAAATAAGCTAACAAGTGAGCCATTCATTATCGAATAGTTACATATTAGGAATCCAGATCAATTGTCAACTTAAGAATTACTTGATACCTTACTAGATTTAACTAAATAGGTATAGATTAACTCTGGTACCTATGCCCACTTCCTCAATTAAATTTTAGACTCTTATAAGAACAAAACAAAACAAAAAAACAGCATCAGAAAAATAACCTTTTTATTCCAATATGCTCATTATGGGTAATTTTTAAACAAACAGTTTCAAATGGAGTATTTTATTAATTGCCCTAAAATAACTCAAACAGCATGACCAAATTCTAAATTCATAATCAGGCATCCCTAAGTGCTGTGCTTCTGTATTCAGGTTATTTGGAAATGCCTTTGACAACATTTCCTAGGGTCTTAAATCCATAGAGTACATGCATTTTCCTAGTAATTTTTTAAAACTCAGTAAATACAATGAGTTTTATCTACCAAATGAGAAATTTACATTAGTTCAGACTGAGTAGAAATAAACTATAGGGGCCAGGGATTTAGCTCACTGGTTCCGCAGCCTGCTCTGCAAGCGCAAGGACCCAAGTTCAATCCCTAGTACCAAATAAATAAATAAATTAAAAAAAAATGTACTTATAACATAGCTTTAAAAAAAAAAGAGTAAACTATTAAAACATCTCTAAGCCGAAGAATACAGTACTCTAGAAACTCATGCTTTTACTTCCCGTCAGACACCCAAAATGAACCTTGTATACGGAGATCTTCTTACCTTTACTGCTCAGCTGAGTTCTCAAAATCCTCCAATATTAGACAAACTACAAAGTAGTCAATTACTCAGTTACTAACAGAACAGTATTTCATTAGATTTACAATAAACTTTAATGTACACCAAACTATTCTCCAGGCAGTTTCAGTTCAAAATTTGTCAGGAATCAGTATGAAGAACTCTTCAAGTTTATGCACAGGAAAAACCCAAAGTCTGGTTTGTTGTGCTTAAGACAGGCTTGCCTGTAAAACAAAGACTCCAGAGTTTTTAGTGAATGTCTGATACTTTATAAACAGCGTTAAATAGAATGTTAAGTGATAGCCTTCTATATGCAGACTAAAAATAAGACATGTACATGCACAGCCTGCAAAAGCACATTAAGTTCCTTTTTTTCTCAGAAGTTTTCAGGCTGTCAAAGCCAAAAAGCACTGGTAAGCCTCAGGTCAAAGATGTTTTCTCCCCAGGTTAATTACAGATGAGTCAGTAATCAACTTGTTCAAGTATTGGTATCTTAAGATGGCTACATTTAAATTATACTTACATTGTTTGCTAGTATATATTATCATACCCAAGGGGAAAAAAATCTTAACAGATCCAACGTAAAATGTTGTACACTTAACCAGAAACAAAATCTCTAAACTCTACACAATACTGCCAACCACACTAAACATATTCATTTATTAGCTTGTTCATTAGAATTAAATCTTAATCCAAGTCCAAGGAAGTTCTGAACAGTTAAGTATACAGGTTCAGCATCCAGGGAGTTAACCATTTAAAACTCCGTTGAAATCTGACTTATGTGCTAGCATAAGAAACCATCCTCAGCAGGCTCATCACAGGTTCCATTTTTTAAAAAAATGGTGCTAGTATAATCAAGCTTTTAAAACAGACACAAATGCCACAGCATACCTTTTTCCAAAGCACCAAAAACATGGAATTTTTAAAAATTTAAAGCAATGTTTTTCATTAAATAGCCAAACTGAAACAATTACATTTCCATCAATACAAAAGGTTCAAGAATTCAGGTCAACTATTAGATTTTAAATAAACCATTATATATTTTGACTTTTTTCTTTCTGAAAAATCTAGCTTAGAAATTAACTCCAGAACTGTCAAATAATTACCTGTCTATTCAAGAATTAAAATTTCTTAGAGATACATTAGAGATGAAAACTTTTCTTAAGACTTCACCCAATGTACTTTAAAAAATGTTATCTATTTTATCAGGTGGTGTAATTACTAAGGTTACTGAACTTTACTTTGTATTATTGAAATAGCAACTTCCTCCAAAATACAGTATTTTGCAAAGCTTAAAGGGTCCCTGGATCTCAAGTCCAATTTTTAGCAAATGGTCCTTTTCAATCTACTAAGACAAGCCATTTTTAATAAAACACATAAAAAATATAGTCTAAACAAAGACAAAACTCCTGGACAAAAGGGAAATGGCAGAAACGTCAAATAAAAAGTTAAACTTCACTTCTTAAGATTCCACTCCAGGGACAGAAATCACACCAACCTGGAATAAACTCATTGTTGCCAAAGTTCAGTAAATATTAACTGCAGATTTGGAGAAAAACTAATTTCAGATTTTCACTCCACTGCAGCACACTTGGTATTAAGGAAGCATGTGCACAAAATAAATACTTATCACAACATTTAGCATCTATATTGTTCTTTATCTTTTTCGTTCCCACTTTTTAGGTCCCACAAGGCAGAACAGTCTGAGGTCCCTAGGTCACTTGGCAAGACATAAATCATTAACAACTGCCAAAAAAACAAACAAAAAAAACTAGTATAGAACCACTTATAGAACCACTGCACATCAAGAACACATGTATTCACACAATAGTATCTGGTTACTGGAAACACTCCAGCCATGCTTTAAAAAAAAATTCACATAAGGATTTAAACGGTATTTTTAGCCATTTAAATATTCTTAAGTGACATAATTTATTAACTTTTTGATTGAATAAAGCATCCTGGATTAACACTAGGTCCAAAGAAAACAAAAAGGAATATTCTGACTTTACAGATTGCCATACATTTATAATAAATTTCCTGTACAATCATACTGGAATACCTGACAGCCAAATTATATCTAACTAAAACTTTTCAAATGTTTTAGTATAAAAGACAATACTTAACTTCAAGAAACAAAAAGTTGTACATGTTCTACATAAGCTACCCAAGTTCTTTTAAACATTTCAAATCTCTCGAACATTTTACAGTGGAAATCACAATCTTCAGCAATACTTAATTTTCAAAGTCTTCTGGTCACAATCCCCACCAAACTCAACAGGCCGGGACAAGTGCAATACCATACAGAAACACAGCATTGCAACCGATCCCAACCTGTGTAGAAAGGGGTTTGATTTTCCCTCACTTTTTCTACAGACTTTTCACTACCACAGTCAGTTTTGCATGGATTTGCACAGCAGAATATCACACAGCTGGATGCAAACCTGCAAAACTAACCATAGAACAGTGTTCAGTAACAGGACAGGACAGGACAGTGTGACTGGGCGACTGGCCGAAGCTGGAGTTCTACAGCTAGCAGTACTTTAAGTGCTCATAATGCAGTAGATAACTAAACACTACCTGCACTATAAGCACTTTAGTGCTACAAGAGCTGTCACATCAGATACACCAGGCAGATTCTACATCGACACAATAAAAGTACACAAAATTAGTAAAAATCACTTGAAGGAAATAGCAGGCCACCATCAGTTTTGCATAGATTTGCACAACTACATTCTTCTTGTAGTGCAACTATGCAAAACTAACAGAGGACTGCAAACAAAAACTATTAAAACCCCTAGATACTTGACTTGAATTGTTAGATGAAAACATAACTTCTTATGCCAGAAGGAGCACTTAGGGCAGTAGATGCTAATCTACTTCACTATCTGCACTAGATGCACCTTAGAACAAAAAGCACTCAAAATCAGCAGACCCTGCGCTTTAAAGCCCACCTTGGCTTCCCGAGGCAGCTGTCACCATAATGCTACAAGTGCCTTCACTGCAGTAGATGCACATATCACTACCTGCACTGTAAGCACTTTGACATTATTCTGACTGGTCACAATCTTCAGTTTTACAAGGTGATGTTCCCTTTATTCCTGCTAAATTTGAAATAAATAATTAGAATAACAACTCAAATTCTAAGAGCTCTGAAACACAAAATTCCCATAGTCTCTAACAAGGAAAAAAAATTAGCTTAATTATCTCATAGCTACAAATTTCACTTATGACACATTCAAGTCTTAAAAATACAAAATTCTTTACAAGAATAACCAACCCCTAGTCTAATGTTGTGAAGTGGTGGCTGTTCCTTACACGTGGCCTGGCCTTTCACAAATTCGTAAGTCAAGGAAAAAAAAAAAAAAATCAAAATCACGCTGCATGTAAGAGAGAACATTATCAACAGTTATTTGACTTTTGAATACCTTTGAGAGGAAATCTTCACATCCACGTGGCAAAACATTTCCTTTTCTTCTGGCTTCCAATTAGCAAATATTCGATAAAATGATTAACGAAATTACTGCTCAGACTACATTTCAATTTTATTAATTGGCCAATTTAAATATGTTTAAGATCTTAAAAATGCAATCAACCTAAATTAGATCTCCTTTCTCATTCAACCTAAAGTCCTAAACCTGTATTTTGCAAACTGCATTCGTTTCCAAAGATGTATAAGGGTTTCTGCACTGTACTTTTTACTACCTTAAAAACTAGTTGACGCAAACTTAACGATTTTTCTAGAAAAGGTAAACTGACAAAATCCAAAACATCTACTTTCATGCTTTAATAGCCCGATCCTATTGTATTTATTCAACTCAAAGAGAAGTCGAGAAAATTGTTATCAAGAAAAGTTAACACAGAAAATTAAAAATATCCTTACCCATTCGGGAAACTTCCTCCTCAGCCAAGTATCCTTTGAAAAGCTTTGGTGCGGTTAGGTTAGGTCCACGTGTATGACTGGGTGGAGGGGGACAGGAAAAAAGATAAACATATTTGCTAAAAATTACCACCACCCCCCAAGTCCATTTATAAATACACTCTTTTCCAACCCCTCTCATGTCAATTAATCCTGTTAATTTGCAAAACCAAAGTAACAGAACCAGGCATATTAGCAGGATTTAAAAGACCAACAATGTAAGCATAAAAACGTGGACTGGAATAAAGTTGAAAAATCCCTAGGTATCACACTCACTTCTTAATTAATAAGCTCCCGAAATACTTGAGTGTGGTCAGGAGTAATCATTAACTCTACTGTACAGCACCACTGCGAGGAGAAAGAGCAGCCAAGAGACTATTCTTCACCACCCCTCCCCCAACCGAGACCTCGTGGCTTCGAGCCGGGATAAAGAGTTGTTTCCTCAAGTGCTGTGGTTCCCAGGCCATGGTGCTAATTTTTTCTTTCGGTGCTATCGCACCCAGCAGCCTTCCCTCTCCACTTCTTTTTCCCCTCTGCTCCAGTTTAGGAATATAAAAGCGGGCAGGACCGCCCGAGACTGTAAAGTGCCCGCCACACTCATGGAGCCCGGGCCGGCAGCACATGTCGCACAAGGGGGCGCGCGGCCCTGCGGTTCCCCGCGCGGCCGCCAGGGGGCGCAGGGTAAGAGCCGGGCCCCGCCGGACGCGGGCACCCCCACCCTCCGTTTCCCGGCGGCAGCCGCGCGGCGACCGGCGGCGCCGAGGCCTGAGCTCGGCGGGGACGCGGCGCACCGCCCCTCCTTTGTGTCCCCCGCCCCCCGGCCCAGCCCAGAGGGGCGGGGGCTCGGCGGCCGCGGTGCCCGCCGCACGCGGCCCGAGGCCTAAGCCGGGAACAATCGCGGAGGCGCGCGGTGGCCGCCATGTCCCCCGCCCTCGCCGCGCGCCGCCCGCCCGCCCGCCCCGCAGGAACATGGCGGCGGGGACGCCTCTCCCGCCGACCGCCGCCTCCCGCGCAGCGCTCCCCGGGGCGGCAGGCGCAGGGCCCACGCGGCGATGGCGGCGGGCTCCGGCCTCCTCCGCGGGCCCCGGCGGGGGAGGCGGCGAGCCGCGCCCGGGGCTGCCCACGCGGCAACAAAGCCCACGCAGAGCGGGGCAGGCGCCCAGGCCGCGCCGCCCGAGCCCGCGCCCTGCGCACAAAGTTTGGGGGAGCGCGGCTC